CAGCTGTGTATGGTCGTCCAATTTGAATCAAGAATTCTACCAAATAACAAAATATAATTATATCATTGTAACTTTAAAATATTATCATTTTTAACTAAGCCATCTTTACATTCTTGATTCAATTTCACTTCTAGATATAGTTATATTAGATTTTGAATCTTTATATATATATATTATGATTTCTGCCAATAATAAAATTATTGGGCAAAAAAAATATAGTGAGTAATTGGATAAATTTATTATCAGCAGTATCTGTTTAATAACCTATTAATATTTTTAATATTTTACCAATTAAAATAAATTTTTTGCTATATCAAATTTGTAGCCTAATATATCTAATATTCTTTTGGTTTATATAATTTGTTTCTGCATATTTTTTTAAAAAAATAACTTAGCACTAGTTTGAATTTTATGCTATTTAGGATCGGGAGATTCTGTAGTACTGATAGGGATGTTTGTTAGCTCTAAGGTTTGAGGAATTTTGATTTTTATAAATTTAGATTAATCATATATTGCTGTGTTTAATATATTGTATAATAGAACAGTTCTTTTAGAAATTGGAAATGCGTTAGGGGCTTGTTGACTCAAAGTTTCGTTAAGACTAAATTGTTTCAAAGTATTGAGGATTTTATTAATGAGGTATTTATTATATTGAATTTTGAATTAGCTTCCGGTATAGTATTACTTTTTTTTATTTAATAATAATCTGAAATAAAAGCTTAAACTATTAAGAAGTGTTGATTATCATCCAAATGTAATTACATTCTATGGAGTCACGAAAGGTACTGTACATATATAGTTTAATATTTCTAAATGTAAAATAATCTTTTAATTATAGTAATAATAGATAATAACGGATATTACTGTATAACATGGTTTTACAATATGCTAACGATGGGACTTTACGAGAATATTTGAAAGCGAATTTTACAAGATTACAATGGGCAGACAAATTACAGATCGCGGTGGAAGTAGCGCGTGGTCTTTTGGTCTTACACAATAATAACATTATTCATAGAGATCTTGTAAGTATATTATGTCTATATGTTCGTGAATTTTAGTTATAGAAACTAATCCTTTGATATATTTAATAGCATTCTAAGAATATCTTAATTCATCAAGGACAATCAAAGATCGCAGATTTTGGACTATCAAAGCAAATAAATGAAATGTCTATGATGTCGAATTCAAAAGTTCATGGAATGCCGGCATATATCGAACCAAAATATCTTATCGATCATAAATATAAACGTGATAAGAAATCTGACGTCTATAGCCTTGGAGTAATCCTCTGGGAAATTTCAAGTGGAAGGCCACCATTTCAAACCTTTGAATCCAGAGATTCACTCGTTATTCACATTTACATGGGAAATAGAGAAAACCCTATACAAACGATGTTGGGACAGCGAACCTGCCAACCGCAGAGACAGAAGAAGTTCTCAATACTTTGAAACAATTTAGTCTTAACGAAACTTTGAGTCAACAAGCCCCTAACGCATTTCCAATTTCATATGATGAACCGATAAAAACTACGGCATTACCATTATGTGAACACTATTCTTTTATCAACTTTTCAGATGACTCAAATGAATATAAGCTTATAATTTCCCAAAGCCCGGACAATATATCATTGACGACAATACCATCTGATTCTAATTCTATTATCAGCTTCAATTCAGTAGATACGAACGAAGTTAAGCAACGTTTGACTGAAAATGATGTACCTGATTCCAATTATTTTAGCAGCTTCTATCCAGTAGACTCGAACGAAGTTGAAAATATACTTACTAGAGAATATAAAGCTATAATATCATTCTGGATTAGTCAAGTAGAAAACAGAAATCTACAATATGGATATAGATTAATCTTTAAAGCAAAGAAAGATGGCAATAAACTGAAAGACTTTTATAAATTATGTAATAAAAAATTTGGAACTGTTGTTATATTGAGGGTTCAAGAAACTGGAGAAATCCTTGGTGGATATAATCCTATTACATGGGGAAAAGCAAATGCTAGAAAATATGCAACGACAGATAAAAGTTTTATTTTTAGATTTGGTTCTGGTACAGAGCCTATCTTTAGCAAAGTAGTAAATACTGAAAAAGCAATTTATTACGACGACTGCTCTGGTCCATCATTCGGCAAGAGGGACCTTTGGTTACAATCCAATATGATTGCGTCCAACAAGTGGTATTGTAAGAAAAAAAAATTATACTATACCGGAAGCTAATTCAA